CGGGGCGCCCTGCCCGAGCCGTGGCTCGGCGTCAGCCTCGCTCCTCCCCTCCGTCCCGGTGAATGAAAACGAAACCGCCCCTCCCCCCCGGGCTCATTGCCCCCAGCTCCCCGGGCGCGCTGCTCGGTTTCTGCCCGGGAAGTGTCCCTCTTAACTCTCTATTGAAATGACTTGTGAGGGAGGGGGCGGGGTAAATGTTTGTAGCCGTCCCTCCAGGGTTCTTGCAAACTGCTCCTGCAGATCGTGTCACATTATGGTCTATTCTTTTCTCAGTAGAGCCAGTTGGAGGTTCATTATCTCTGCAGTAAAGGGGGTCCCGAATGACCGAGCCGTGTGTTTAAAAAATAAATAAATACCAGGGCTTGTCTCGAATAGAAAATGTGAATGTGCTTATGAAAAGTTTAATCAGGATGAGCTGAGATGAGGCTGTACATGATGTGTACTAGTTGGCACTGACTAGTCAGCCGTGATCATTGTTATCAGGTCCCTCAAGTATTCACAAAAGTTTTCATGTTCAAGCACAATAGTTTATTTATTTTTTAAAGAGATGTCCCTAGATACTTTATCATTTGTGTGACATTTTCTAGGGTGTGGGGAGGAGGAAAGGCTACATCTAACTTGAAATCAGAGGAGGGGAATGTTCCTTTTAAGCTTTGTAAATGTGTTTGTGGTTTGTCTAGGCATAGGTCTATTTGTGAACTAGACACCAAAGCTTTAAGAGGTTGTGCTAAAAGGCAAGTCATTTCCAGCCCCTTCAGAGCACTTAGATTAGTAATACATCTCTACCCCGATATAACGCTGTCCTCGGGAGCCAAAATATCTTACTGCGTTATAGGTGAAACCGCATTATATTGAACTTGCTTTGATCCGCTGGAGTGCGCAGCCCCGCCTCCCCGGAGCACTGCTTTACCACGTTATATCTGAATTTGTGTTATTTCGGGTCGCGTTATATCGGGTAGAGGTGTACTTTGTCTGCCCTGGTATTTATCGTCGCTGCAGAGGTAACTCAGGCTCTTACTTGAGTGGTGCCCCTAGTCTGGCTCCCATCCATGCACAGAAACCTCTTGCCTGACTGGTGGTGGTGTTTACACCCAGGCTGGCTAGCTGGCCTAGGGTACAGGCTAAAACCTGGGTGCTCCTTACACTCAGGCTGGTAACCCACCCATATTTCAGTGTAGATACAGGCTAAAACTCTCAGGGGCTGATAATTCTCCAGTGCCTTCCCAAAAATCCTTCTGTGTGCACAGAAACACAAACAGTTTCTCCCACAGTTTATTGAGAGAGAATCATAGAGTGATTCATCTTATTGCAGTATTAAGAATGCTGGGCTATAACCACAAAAGTCCTAGTGAGTATAGTACTAGCGTGGACACAGTAGAGACACACTTGAATATGGCTTTGCAGTGTGCCACTCACACCCAAGTGCTGATCACCCAAGTGCTGATCACCCAAATTAACTCTGCAGTGAAGACATACCCCTGGAAAGTTGTACTGCTTTAACTATACTGGTTGCACTAGTATAGTTAAAATGCTGCAACTCCCCTAGTGTGGACTCTTGTTACATTTGTGTACATGTGCTTTTTACATGTAAAGATTTTCCTATATGGGAGAGGGAATAACTAGACCAGCATGTCACTTATATACTGATATAACTGCATCCATGCTAGGGGTTGTACTGGCATAACTATAGCAGAAAAAATCACGCCTCTGACGTAGTTACATGACTATAACTTTCACGTGTAGATTAGGCATAACTGTGCGGGGGGGAGAAGTTTTACACTTTTTTTTTTATTCGTGCTTTAGCTTTGTATCTGCTAACAGTATAGGTTAAATAGCAGAAAGCTTTGGACTACTCTATGTGTGTTAAATAAATGAATCTCATTTGAAATGGAATAACTTCTCTCCTCTATGCTTTTTATTTCTTTAACTATTTCTGTTTTTCTTGTCCCTGGCTATGGAAAACACAATATTTTTTTTGTTTCAAACTAATGCTGCCTGCTCTCTTTCTGCTTCCCACCTGTTAGGATTTGGTGGGCTTGAGACTGCAAACTCCACTGCCAGTGGGTTTAATTTTGGGGGTTTCGGATTAACTGCCAATCCTGCAGTGAATTTTAATATTGGGAATTTCGGTGTGTCCACTACCTCAGCGCCACCATTCAATTTTGGTAACAGTCTGGCAAGTGCAGGTAGATAACACACACACTTGTTTGTAATGAATGTTGATAGCAGGGGTCCAAGAATTCTTTTCAGATCTCTGGTATCTAAGTATAAAAAACTACTTCAATACTTTTTGTATAGTCCAAATTAGGGAACAAAGCTTTTAATAACTTGTAGCAAAATCTCTAAATATGACTTTAAAAACACTTCCACTAATTTCTGGATTTCGTATGCAAATCCAGTGAAATAGCTGAAAGAAAACTACTTGGTCTGTCAAATTCACATTTTCTCTAAAAACAAAATAGACTGGCAGGACACCATGGTTTAAATCTAAGTCTTGATTATTTAGCAAATGGTCAGTTTTACTGGCAAACTGTAATCTCAATTCTTTGTTCAGATATTGGTAATACTGAGTAATTACAGAGTAAATCTGTAAAGCCACATTTCCTTACTTTAGATTCTTGGACTACTGTAGTCATGTTTTTCATCTTTCCTATGTCTCTTCATTGGACTTCAGTTGGTTATCATGAACACACCCCACTTAACTAGTTTCTCTGGAGAAACAAATTTTATACGATCAGCACAAAATCAATAGCCCTGCTTTGTCTCTGTCCAAGTACTGTTCATCTGCTGAAATAATGCACAGATGCAGGGTTGTCTTTAAAAGATGCTCTAGCTTTTTTATTCTTCCTAATGTGGACACTGGTTATTTGTTGCGAAGGGAATCGGCAATCCAGTGTAAATTAGTCAATTGAGTAATCACATTGATTGATTTTAAATTTAGTCTTATCTTTTTTTACGTGAAAATATTTGTGCCTTGTATGGTGGTATACTACTTCATATGTTTCCATTTATGTAGGGTTAGCCCCGGGATCTTGTTCTTGCAGCTGCTCGTATAGGAATTATATGCATTCCACAGTCTTATCATTTTTTGTATTTTAGCACCCATGTCACTTTCATGCACCTGATGAATAATATAAATCTTGTTTAACTGATTTTACTCTGGTACAAATTCTAATGAATTGCCTTTTTCTAATGGATATGAGCTAAATTAAAACCAAACCTGAGATGCATGTTTTCATTGAATTAACAGTTTAATACTACAATTATCACTGGAAACCTTTTTCATCCAGTTGCATAAAGCTGATGCTCTGAGTGAAAATCAAGTTGGTTGAAAATTAAGTCTCTGGTTTAAGTTTCATTCTGTGTGCACAGGGATGGTAAATCTAATAGATTTATAAATAAAACATTATTTGTTTTGATTCAGATGTAAACTGTATTTTGATAAACTGACATGTCCATTGCCAATGACTATCCATTTGTTGAATCATGTACACCGTACTGTTTGATATTTCTATATAGAGCTCTTGCTGATTGAATATTATTTTGCAATTTTAACTAAGATTGTATAACTTTGCCACTCATAACTCCTTTCCTGTCATACATAACATGCCATTTCAAGCTGACTGTTTCATTACATTAAGTTAAAAAAATTATTTTATCACATGTAACTTACAAGTGGCTTTACAACAGCTGGTCTACGTAGTGGACTCTTTTAGTTGGTGTCTGTGAGGTGCTGTCACTCCTGCTCCATATGTGTATAGGAGGCCCCTGGGGGAGACTAATAAGTTTGGGCTATGATTTCGTTGTTTTCATCTGACCTATATGATGTTGTATCTTTGCTTTTCTGCTGCCTGGCCAAGTTCAGGAGTAAGATCAGAGTGGACTGATGATCCAATTTGCTGAGTTAAGAAAGGATCTAAAAGGTATAATGGGATGGCTTCTTTGGGCTCTGTTCAGGGAGAATTTCTATCTTTTGTCCACGAGTACAGTTTAGAATTACTTTTTGACCTCTTAATGCCCCAGGTTACCCAAGTCTTGTCAGTGGAATAAAGTATATTTTTCATCTTTTGTCCTCTAATAAGGTGATGGTTACTTTCACACATGTCTGGATCAGGAATACGTGCCTGAGCAATTTTAGATTGGATTATTGCAATGCACAGCACACACAGTTACCCCTGAAAGCCTATCGGTGTTTGCAGCTGGTGCAAAACACCACTGCTTGCCTGCTAGGAAAAGGAGCTGCAAGGAGCTACTTAGCCCCTTTTTGGACAAATGCACTGGATATGCTGCTCTGCCAGCTGGTCCCCTTTTCCCTGTGCTCCTCTAGACATACTACCTTGTTACCAGGACATGATTCTGCTGTTGGTGACTCCAAGTTCCTGGGGAACTCTTCCTGTTTTTTCTGCTGTGTAGCAGAGGCCCCTAGTAGAGGCATCTAGTCTGGTTTCTTCATGTTTCCAGCTGCTTTTACAGACTCTTACCATGAAGAGCCTGAACACCTGTAGAAGCAGCAGGAAATAGAGGGGATCCAGCACCATATGACTAGCTAGCTTAGCTCCTTCATAGACCCCAGTTTGGGAACTGCTGACTTAAATTTTTAGCTAATAAAAGTAAAACCTCAAGCATGTTTGCTGGACTTCATACAGCCAGTGAATCTTGGAGGATGCAGGTGTTGCTAGCTCTTACAGATGCAGACCAAGGGATGTCCCAAACAGAGTGCATTGCAGTAGTGTAAAGGGGGGATCACAAAGGCATGGATTACCACTGTGAAATCCACACCCACAAGGTAAGTTTGCAATTTCCAAATATTTCAGAGATGGAAGAGGACCACTCTTTGCTGTTGATAAAAGATTGTGGGCTTAAGTTTAGCTGGTTAAGAATAATATTCGAGGTGCCTGGGATTAATGTCAGGGTAAAGGCACTCATTGCTTATATGAAATCCTGTCAGCCCTTCATCTTATTGGCAATAACTCAATCTTATCCAGTCAAGTCTTTTAAAGTACTGCCTTGTATTTGTTCTGCTGTTTTGGCCAGCAGTGAGATGGCACAGTTGGCATTAGAGACTTGAAGAGATTGTATTATAAAATTGGGGGTGTTATCAGTTTACTGAGGACATTTCAGCCCGTGCTTCTGAACTGAGATATAAATATCTTACATGTTAGAGGTTCGACTGTATGGCCCCTTGACTGTTCCTCTCAAGAACCGAGCACTTCCCTTTGCATTGTAAACTATTCCGACAAATCCATCCTCCTAACAACCTGTGTGCCGTGCTGTGGACCTGATCCCTGAAAACACAGGGAGACCCATTCATCCATGGAAGTCAGTGGAATTCCACAGGAGTCTACCCCATAAATCTTCTTGCAGGATTGGGACATAGAATGTCATCCTTCTGCTGACACGAGGGACACTGCCTTTGCCACGTATGCCAGGGTTTTAGGCCATCTTTACTGTCTGTGTTCTTACTCACATGCAACCATTGTATGTAAGATGCTTAGTTCTACCCAAGTGTCTGTAGCTCTTATTTATATTTTTAATTAAATGACCCTTTATATTAAAAACGTACCACCCCGTCCCACAAAAATCCAGTTATTCTAGACTCTAGAGAATTAATGTGACAAAAGTTAGTACTAGTTATAATCTTCTGTAGATGGGGAGAGCACATCTGGCACTGAGCAACTTAAGTGTTTGTGTGGTTTTTTGTTTTGTTTTTTCAATATCCATAGGTCACTTGTCACAAGCTAAATATGTATTGCTTTCTTGTCCCCACTTTCTCTCCTGTTTACTTTATTGTCAATAAAGTAAATAACTGTGATCAGAAAAACTTGCTTGTGCAACAACACATTCATCTGTCAGCATCTCCCTTCATAAAACTCATTGCGTTGGAGTGTGCAGTTTATCATGATCTACAAGAGATTGAACTGTGGCAAAGCCACCTTGTTTATTTGTACAATTTATTTACTAGGTGCATTTGGAGGATTTGGGACAACTACCACCGCTCCTGGATCAGCATTTAGCTTTTCTGCTCCTACCAACACAGGCACCACTGGTGAGATACCATCATTCTGATTTAAAATTAAACTTAAAACTTCTAAAAGACTGATGTTATCTGTTTTTGCTGTTCATTTGTAAATCTTCTGTTTATCTTGGATTTTCTCCCCTTCTCTAAGGACTGTTTGGTGCTACCCAAAACAAAGGTTTTGGATTTGGTACCGGTTTTGGCGCAGCAGGAACTGGTACCGGCCTAGGTACTGGTTTAGGAACTGGGTTAGGCTTTGGAGGATTCAGTACCCAACAGCAGCAGCCCAGTAAGTACAAAGACTTCTGTTTCTTTTAAAATTTATTGTTAGTAAGCAAAATATCTCTTGCTCATCGCTCCTGAGTAATCAAAATATTCGCATGAGTTTACTAGAGTAATGGACAAATAGAAAATTCTATTGTGCCCCCAGAACCATCCGTGAAGGGTTTACAGATCTCTGCACTCTTCATAGTCTAAGCCAGGGGTTCTCAAACTGAGGGTTGTGACCCCTTAGGGGGGTCACGAGGTTATTACATGGGGAGTCGTGAGCTGTCAGCCTCCACCCCAAACCCCGCTTTGCCTTCAGCATTTATAATGGTGTTAAATATATTAAAAAGTGTTTTTAATTTATAAGGGGGTCACACTCAAAGGCTTGCTATGTGAAAGGGGTCACCAGTATAAAAGTTTGAGAACCACTGGTCTAAGCCTTTTACACAGAGCACCAGAGCCTGAAGAGGGGGATGAGACAACTAAACCTCACTCACAGCACTAAATTCACCTCCAAGTCCCAAGTCTCACTAGTGGGGAGATTGCTCTGTTGTGGAAGAAAAAGACCAAACAGCCTGGACATTTTAATGTGAACACTTAAAAATTCACCATTTGGCAGGCTCCACACTTCAAGTGCCTCTTGCTCAAATTGCTACAGGTTGCTCCATGAGAACGAAAAACTTTGGCATAGTCCCAGTAGTTTCAAGATATACCAGTAAAGTGTCCATCCCCTTGGACCAAAAAAAGAGATGGATCACTTTTTCTTTTGAGTTATCTGCTACCTATCTTGCTGATGCTGTTCACTGCCTACAACAAGGGATCTCATGGAATAGATGGAGGAGCAAGGGTTCAGAGCATCCTGGAGAGTGTTTTCGTTTTGCAGTTAGGGGTGTAAAATAGTAAACGGTTGAACAGTTAACCGATAAGCATTAGTCTTCCCAGTTAACCCAGCCTAACCATTAACCTCCAGCCCCATGGGTTAACTGGGTAAACGATATAATTTTAATCGGTTAACTTTTTAAATGATATTTACATTCCTATTTGCCACATCATACCCAGGTACCTTCACAACATGCCTCAGGATGGCCTTTGCTGTTCTGTTGGCAGTGTAGCCATCCTTATTGTTTCCTGCAGAGCAAGCTAAACCCTATGGTAAGGTAGTTCTTTTCCGAGTTTAATATTGCCCGTCCTTTCCAAGAGGGATATCTTTGGGAATCACCTAGATCAGGGCCTGGGTTCCATGTCTTAGCAAGGAAAGACTCTGTATGAGAGTGAGCATGTCTTATCCAAGGGTCTCTATAGACCAAACAGAAATTTCAGCTCCTTTTTCTTTACCTACAGAACATGTAGATTAAATTCCAATGGAACTTGGCCTTTCATGCCTCATTTGAGAGACCAAGGGAACCAGGCCAAACTCTTTGAGATATTGCTATGCCGTTCCCTAAAGGATTGGCCCATAGCAAGAGACTTGCAGTTCCTGGCTGTGGGGGCAACATTGCTTCTGAATATAGCTCCCTTTTTGTAGTGACTTTATAAACTGAATTCTTTTCCTCCCCTGCCTCCTGAAGCAGTCACATCCCATCTTCCTTCCTTTCCTGTAAAGGAGGAATCAGTTAGAGCACCATCAACTGTCGATTTCAAATTTAGGCAGTGTTCCCTTTTGGCCCCAGCTTAAAAGGTTTACAAAAGTCTGTTCTGTTTATTTTTTGGTCTCCAAGAAGATCCAGCAGATTCTGGATAGTGGAGCATAAGTGTATCAAAAAGGAATCCAGCACATTGGTGATCCTTGCTGTCAGTCCAGGAGACTTCTGAGCATCTTGGTTGTAGCATACATATCTCCATAGCGCCATTATAGCAGCCCTCAGAAATACCTGTGCTTCACCTTGGGATCTCCATGTATCATACCGGTCCCTTCTTTTGGTTTAGCATTGGCGCCAAGAATCTTTACAAAGTTGATGGTGGCAGTGACAGCATCATGAGAAAGGAAGGAATTGATGCCAGATTTGGTTTAAAGAAAAGTCAATATAAAAATAGATCTGGGATCTGCTGACTGCTTTACGGTGTCACAATAACCGATGTACCTTTCAGATTTTAAAGCATCCAAGAATGTTTATCCAATAACATCCCTCAAATGGGTAAATATAGACACCTCTTTTTAAAAGTGTGCCTCTGTGTAATTGAATGTCAGACAATTCTATCATCACTTTTAAGAAGGTGTGTGTGGGGGGGATATAATGTCATTCAAAAAATCAAACTTTGTGCTTTATTATTTACCCACAGACTTCTTGGTATTCCCCTGACAAATGCACAAGAAGTTCTAGTATGGTGTGCATTAATCAGTTAATCTTTCTTTATTCCTCAAGAACTGTTTTGTCTGTATCTGATTTTAGCATTAGGTGGCTTGTTCAGTCAGCCCGCTCAGGCACCTTCCCAGTCCAACCAGCTGATAAACACAGCCAGTGCTCTTTCTGCTCCCACACTCTTGGGAGATGAGCGAGATGCTATTTTGGCAAAGTGGAACCAGTTGCAAGCCTTCTGGGGGGCAGGCAAAGGATATTTTAACACCAACATTGCTCCGGTGGAGTTCACGCAGGAAAACCCATTTTGCAGATTTAAGGTATGATATTTCTGGTATTTATCTGAATACTTATTCTGAGACCATTTGCAGTCTTCTGTTTTAATCCTAAATGCATTATGGGTAGTTAATTTAGCTATTGCTAATTCTAAGTATGTAACATAATATGTTCTTCAAGGCAATGTGTCCCATTCTAATATACATGGGATAAAGCTCTGAGTGGTGTGCTTGCTGAAAATCTAGGCCCTGCTGAAGTATTACAGATGACATGCATGTTCATGTGAGCAATAAGACAGATAAAATATTCCAGGATAGTGTTAGGAGAATTAAGGTCACTAACCATCCAAGGTGAGCACTAATCCATTAGAAATGCATTTCTTCTGGTGCTAATCACTTAAAATGGTCTTCCAATTAATTTTTAAGCTTTACAGAGGTTCTCAAACTTTTGTACTGGTGACTCCTTTCACATAGCAAGCCTCTGAGTGTAAACCCCCCCCCCCCCCCGACTAAATTTAAAACACTTTTTATATATTTAACATCATTATAAATGCTGGAGGCAAAGCGGGGTTTAGGGTGGAGGCTGACAGCTTGTGACCCCCCCCCCCTTGTGGTGATAACCTTGTGACCGCCTGAGGGGTCCCGACCCCCAGTTTGAGAATCCCTGCTTTAGAAGACCAGGATTAACCTTTTTTTTTTTTGTAGATCCAGAACAACAAACTTAATGTTGATCTCTGCGTCAACCTCAGCAACAGGAGACTGTTTTCTGAATTTGGCCTGCACACCATTTTGGTAGCCCATATTCTCTTCTGCATCAGCTAGATTCAGGCCAGCTTATTCTGATTTGAACTCATCTGCTTTTATCCGCAGGAGTCTTTAAGCTGTCCTTATGCCTTGTCCCAGTTTCCAATTCTGCTGTGTCAGCAAAGAGTAGAGAGTTCCTCATCCTCCACAGATCTGATGATGCTTACTCTAGCCCAGCAACAGACCAATGAATAGACATATCAGAGACAGTAATAAGCCTAGCTTTCTGTACACATTGGAGATACTTCCCTAAGAGACGCAATTTTTACTCTGAATGTTAATGTCGTTTGTTGCATAATTAACACTGGTTTTGACATACAAGTCGCAGAATATTACCAGCGCTCTAAAACTGAACCTATGTATAGTAAATGTGTAAAGGGGTATAAAACAAGATGGCAGGTATTTGGCCGTCTTCATAATGCATTTTATGGTGCAGTCTAGTAATAGGAGCTTCTTGTGGGCAACTTGACACTTTTGAGCAATCACTTTAATATAGGTATCAATTCTAAAAGTTTTACACCCACTTATAAGAGGACTGCTCTTAACAGAGAGCTACTAGTGCTTTCTGCAAATTACACAATACACTTAATCTTTCTCATAAATTTAGCTTTCCGTTAATTCTGGGAAGTGTATTTCTGTGCTATGTATTTAATCTTAATTGTCCTAGGGCCTTGAGTATTGCACTGGGTTGATTCAGGCTGATGGACTTTTTGTACCCAAGTGAAATGACTTTGAGGGAACTCTTGCTGAATCTCGTTTGACTTTCTCTTCTAAGAACGTAGCGCATACACTGACACAATAGTTGTAAGTGCAACCATGCATCGTAGGTTAAAGATCCATTTGTAGCCCCTCCATAAAATTCACCGTCTTTGCTATATTGTATCAGGAATCAAGAGATTTCAATGACTTGCCCCAGTGTGCTAAGAAGCAGTGTATTTGAACCTTAAAACAGTACAACACCTCAGTGCATGAAAACAGTTGCCTTAAAGCAAGTTGAATAATATTCACTAATTCATGACTTTTCAAACTCCTGCAGTCTTTGAAAATTACTGTTGTTACAGTATGAACAACAGAGTTTCTTAGTGTTGGGATATTGAGTTGCATCAGCGAAAGAGTGTAATACTTAGGCCTGGTCCACACTAACTCCCCACTTCGGACTAAGGTACGCAAATTCAGCTACATTATTAACGTAGCTGAATTCGAAGTATCTTAGTCCGAACTTACCGCGGGTCCAGATGCGGCAGGCAGGCTCCCCCATCGATGCCGTGTACACCTCTCGCTGAGCTGGAGTACCGGCGTCGACGGCGAGCACTTCTGTCTAGACAAGACGCGATAAATCGATCCCAGAAGATCGATCGCTTACATCCGGACCAGGAAGTAAGTATAGACGTACCCTTAATCTTACTGCAAGTTTATCACAGAAAGGATAGAGAGGTTTTTAAAATAAAATAGAGAAGATAAGATTAGGGTTTTGTGTTTGGTTTTTGTGTTTTTAAATACAGGCATTCAAAACTCCACCATTACACACTGAGATGGGAAAGTAACTGTCGTGGGTGTACTGAAGTTCTCAAATGTTATATCTTGATCTTCAAGATTGTTTTTTCATTTAAGCCTTACACCTACAGAAGCACTCAGTATGTACACCTTGAGTTGTATTCCCCAGTATCTTCCTACTCCAGTTCAATACCGCATAGAGTGGAGGTTCCAGAAATCTCCAGAGGTTGGAAGTGGTGCACTTGTGAAAAAGGCTGCTATCATTCTGTGGTATATTAATAGGAGTGTCATATGTAAGACATGGGAGGTAACTGTCCCACTCTAATCAGCATTGGTGAGGCCTCAGCTGGAGTACTATGACCAGTTCTGGTCGTCACACTTTAAGAAAGTTGTAGACAAACTGGAGACAGTCCAGAGGAGAGCATCACAAATGAAAAAAAGATTCAGAAGACTTGACCTATGTGGAAAGGTTAAAACTTGGGCATGTTTAGTCTTGAGAAAAGAAGACTGAGAGGGACCTGATAGCTTTTCAAATATATTAAGAGCTGTCGGGGATGGCGATCAGTGGTTCTCCATGTCCACTGAAGGTAGGACAAGGAAAAAAAAATGGGTTTAATCTTCAGCAAGGCAGATCTAGATTGGATATTAAATAAAGCTTTCTAACTGTTTGAGTAGTTAAGCACTGGAATAGGCTTCCAAGGTAGACTGTGGAATCCCCATTGTTGGAGGTTTTTAAGAACAGGTTGAACAAATAGCTGTCGGGGATGATGTAGGTAGACTTGGTCCTGCCTCAGCACAGGGGGATGGGCTAGATGACCTCTTTAGGTTCCTTTCGTTTCTAAATTTCCATGATTTTATCTTCCTTTTTCCTTATTTCTATATTACTAGGGGTTTTTAATACCAGGCATAACAAGTCAAAATCCCCTTTCCTGTGTTTACATTTGAGTGTTTAATTCAGTTCTCAGTTCCAAAACAGTAACACAATTTCTGTTCAACCTAGAATCTTCCCAACAGGCCAAAATTTCTCAAAGGCAGAGAATGGACATTTCTGAAAATTTACCTTGTTAAAAACTTTAACCATTTCAAAAGTGACTTTACTGATTGCTCAATAAATGTAGTTTTAGAAAGTGGGAGTGTTTTTAACGCCTTTAAAATTATTCATATACTATGGTTCTATTTAGAATTAGCTGGAAACATGCCATAGAGTAGTCTGCAAGTATTGTCCTCTCCTACACCCTTGTCTTGTTGTATCTCACTTTCAGGTGAACCTTTAACAACATTCAATTTGGCTTTTTCCACAGGCTGTGGGCTTCAGTTGCATGCCCAACAACAAAGATGAAGATGGCCTGGTGGTCTTAGTCTTCAATAGAAAAGAAGTAGACATTCGAAACCAGCAGCAGCAGCTAGTAGAATCACTGCACAAAATTTTGGGAGGAAACCAGACCCTTACGGTCAATGTAGAAGGTGTTAAAACACTGCCAGATGACCAGTACGTGAATATCTTCTTGTGCAATTTCCCCCTCTTCTCTATCTGGTTTTCTCTGCGTGTATAATGTGTTGGCTCTCTTAAAGTCAACTTGCTTCAGTACAAAGCTTCTGCTGAAACTCCTTCTAAGAGTCTTATAGAGATACTCAAATATATATTTAAAGTTTTTAATGTTTGTATTCTGAATATAGTACCCATCTCTGTTCTTCAACAGTATCCATTTATTTGCCTACAGGTTTTGGCCTATTCTATCTTTTTTTTTTCCTTTAGTTTCTTGCCACTGTTTCTGATAGATCACTAAATCCAATTTTCTTGGTTTATTTGGCATTTGCATCACCAATGAGGCCAGTAAAGTTCTGGCCGTAGATTTATCTTGTGATTCCCCTGCTCGGCAGCAGTGCTGGAAAAATCAGGGATGTGTGTAGTGGTTACTGCAACTGGGTTAAATGCACTAAATATTTTAGAAAGTGGAGGGCATGCCCCACCAGTAAGATACTTAAGGTAGATAATGGGGGGGTTGTTTGTTTGTTTGTTTTGGAGACCAATGCTGATCAGGTATTCTAGCATTTGAGCCCAGAAATATTTGCTTTGGAATTAAGCTTGCTTACTGACAGTGGCACTGGCTACTTCTGTCTGTGGTGTGCCAGAGGACTGTTCTTTACACTGGACTACCTTAAGTATTTCTAACATCCCCATGGTAGTTAACATCCACGCACTTGCTAAACTTACAGCAAAGACTCCACTTTATCCTGACCTATAGACTGACTTGATGTATGAAAAGACAGGAAATGTGATGCTCCAGTATCCAGTTCTTTTTCTCCAATGATAGAATTTGGGCTGGGTCAGGGCTGGTTCTAGGGATGGGTGAGCAGGGTTGTCACCCTGAGCACTGACTTCCAGATGGCTCCACCACAGGGCTGGTTGGCTTTTCTTCTTCTTTGCTTTGATTAGGCACACTTCCCACTCTCCTCTACTCCTTCCCCTTCTCCCCGATTGGTTGGCTGTGCTTTTCTTTTGCTTGGCCAATGTGGAGGCACACGCTGATGATGATTTCTGCCCCGGGTGGGTGGTAAAACATCTAGGGCTGCTCCTGGGCTAGGCTGATGTAATTTAGGAAGATACGTGCATGATAGCCTGTTCATTTTCCTTTAACAAAATGTGAACCTAGTGGTTTCTAATACACACTGACAACACATCAGCGTGTAGATATTAAACTGTATAATTTTGTAGTTGTTTTATTAAACAAGTATTTGACTTCTGAACATTTGATTAATATTTATTTGTAATTCTGAATCTGATGCTCACTTTTGTTTGCTATATTAGTCAACAGTAAATATTTTCAGCTTTTTTTTAAATTGACTGGAATGTATTAATTGAAAATAATGATGCTGTTCCGTTTGTCGGTTGGCTCCAGGCTTATAATTGTATTTCAGTTGTTATTTCTGTAAACCATTAACTGATCTAGGGTACTTGTATTCTTATCATTTTCTTTTCTGTTGCATTTGCTTGTTCAGGACTGAAGTGGTCATTTATGTTGTTGAGCGGTCACCAAATGGGACTTCAAGGAGAGTTCCAGCCACGACCCTGTACGCTCATTTTGAACAAGTTAACATAAAAACAACACTGCAGCAGCTCGGCGTTACCCTCTCCATGGCCAGAACGGAACTTTCTCCAGCACAAATCAAACAGCTTCTACAGAATCCTCCTGCTGGTATGTACTGAAGTGCTTCCTTAGTTGGTAAACAAGCCCTTCCACATTCTCCAGGTGTCCGGGAGAGTAAGTGACTGGGAAAAATGACATTTCTAGTCAAAGGAGTTTTTAAGCTGACCTTACATACTAACATGTCTGTTCCAAATGTTTCTAACCCTTCCAACAAAGGAACTTTATTTTGCTCAGTTGAGGATACAAAGTTATGCAAATATCTAATACCAGGGTAGACAGTATTGTAAACCAAACTGTAAGAGTCTTAAACTAGTTCAGTTCATCTTATTAACTGCTTCACGGAGTCCAGCAAAAGTGATATGCCAGGACAGTAACTTTTGCAGGTAAAATAAACACCGTAGGGGCCTGTATTCTCACTCCTCCCAACTTTCTCTGAGTGACTCGGCTAATACACATCCGTACATGTGCACAGAGGGTAATTGTATCCCTTTGGATGAGTGTAGTGACTTTTTTGATTCCTCATTTGTTCACTTGTAATATCAGAGATACTTGGCTTCTGTTTGCTGGTCTGTGGCCTGAAGAGAAGAGTTTGTAGGATCTTCTCACACTTAAAGATAAGTGTACGTTTGGAATAACTCCTTGCCTGCTCTCCAGGTTCCAAAATCTCAAATAGTCTGTTTTTGACTTGGATAAGTTGTGTTAAGGAATAAGTTGCCCATGTTCTGGATATGTGTGGGTTTTTTTAGTTTTTTTGGGAGGTGTTCGGGGGGAGGGTTAAAGGCCAAAATAACAACATTAAAGATTGAAGTCTCTTTTAATCTTTCATTCCATAGCTGGAAATCAGGTGCTTTGGTAGTAAAATTAGGATAAACTTTTAACTAAGGGAATCAATTTGAAATCAAAATGAATTCAAAATAATCTTATGTACTACACCTGTGGTTCTGCTATCACGTTTTGCCATATTCTCCCCAACTGCTACGTGAGAGAGACTCAAAAAAAGGGGAAACTGACTATATGGGGACAAGTCTGTTCAATGCACAAAGTAACCACTTCTGTCCTGTCTCTTTCAGGTATAGTAACTTTAGGTGTAACTACAGTAGGTATAAAAAACTTGCCACAGAAATCTGACAATTGTTTTTACCTTGGCAGTGTCCATTTAAACTACCTATTACAAACTAAAATGTATTTTGGAATACATTTTGTTTTTTAGAACTGCTTCTTTATTGATTTGTGCAGCTAGCAAAGTTTTAGTATAATTGTATCATTGGTACCTCGGGCCTTTCCTGTCTGTTTGCCTTTTTACCGTATGCATAGACTCTAAGCTCTTTGGGCATGAACAATCTTTTGTGTAGGAGCCCAGCACAACAGGCCCCTTACTGGAACACCTGTGCACTACTGGTATACAAATAAAACCCTTACGTTAGGTTTTCACCAGTGTAACAAGATCAAAATCTGTTTAGAAATCAATGCGTGCACAACGGTAACATTTCTATAGCACATGAAATGTCAGACCTCCAAAAGCATCCTTTGCACTGACAGTGTATGTAGAACAAATTACGAGCAAAGCAAAATTACTACCTGAAAGTTACATGGTGGATTTGAACTCATCCTGAAAAACGGGACTTTCAAAGTGTAGGTTGAACGTCTCCAACTTCCCCATCCTTAACTCCCTCTGTTGTGTGTAGGTATTTCACTCGCAGCACACACAAAAAAACTGACCGTAAACGCTGCATACTAAATTCTCTAAATAAAGGGATGTTTTGAATAGGCAGGAATTTAACATTGCTAGTGAATACATACCCGAAGTAACACAGTAAGAACAAAAGATGTGTTTAATATAGGGATCTGCATAATCTGAGTCATTGGTCATACCAAGGAAAAGACTGCTTAATAAAAAGAAATGAAAGACCGTATACCTGAGGAGGAATAAATAGTAGCATTCACTTAGTAGAGAATGCCATAATTAAGGTTGCTAAACAGTTAAAATTGCTACAGCCTCCTTCCTCCCCCAACTAAACTAAACTTTCAGCCTGAGGCTGAAATTTACAAAAGTGATCGGAGTAAATCTCGACACTTTTCCTTTTGTCTTCTGCATCCTGAGGGCTATTGCCTTTATATTCTTATCTTAGTTTTTCTAACTTCACTTTATGTGAATTAATATACTCAGTGTATGCATCTTAGCACATTATCCTTGATAGGTAATATAGTCCAGTGGTGATAGCACAGAGCTGGGTACCAAGACATCAGAATTCTAGTCCCAACCTAGCTATGGGGTTTTGAGCAAATCTCGTTGTTTCCCTATTGTTGAAAATAATACTTGCCTACTTCCCAAGGATGTTCTGAAGACTAATTTAAACTAGGCAAGCAATATAAAATATTTAGGGCTGTCAAGCAATTAATAAGATTAATTGTGATCGCACGATTAAAAAAATTAATGCTCACTTTATATTTTTATTACAAATATTTGCACTGTAAAAAAACAAAAGAAATAGTATATTTCAGTTCACCTAATATAAGTAGTGTAATTCAATCTCTTAATCATAAAAGCTGAATTTACAAATGTAGAAAATTCAGTACAAAAAATAACTCTTCTTTTTGAATGCACTGTAAAACAATTCCTACAAGTCCACTCAGTCCTACTTCAGCCAATCGCTCAAACAAGTTTGTTTACATTTTATGGGAGATAATGCTGCCCATTTCCTGTTTACAATGTTGCCTGAAAGTGAGAACAGGCATTCGCATGGCACTGTTGTAGCCAGCGTTGCAGTATATTTACGTGCCAGATGCGCTAAAGAATCCTGTGTCCCTTCATGCTTCATCCACCATTCCAGAGGACATGCGTCAGTGCTGAGGACAGGTTCTGCTCGATAACAATCCAAAGCAGGGTGGACCGACATATTCATCATCTGAGTCAGATGCCACCAGCAGAAGATTGATTTTCTTTTTTGGTGGTTCGGGTTCTGTATTTTCCGCATCGGAGTGTTGCTCTTTTAAGACTTCTGAAAGTATGCTCCTCCCCACCTCATCTCTCTGATTTGATGGCATTTCAGATTCTTAAACCTTGGGTCGAGTGCCGTAGCTATTCTTAGAAATCGCTACCTTCTTTGTGTTTTGTCAAATCTGCTGTGAAAGTGTTTTTCAAACGAACAACATGTGCTAGGTCATCATCCCAGACTGCTATGACATGAAATATATGTCAGAATGTGGATAAAACAGAAGAGGAGACATACAGTTCTCCCCCAAGGAGTTCAGTCTCAAATTTAATTAATCCATTATTTTTTTTAATGAGCATTATCAGCATGGAAGCATGTCCTTTGGTATGGTGGCCGAAGCATGAAGGGGCATACGAATGTTTAGTATATGTGGCACGTAAATACCTTGCAACGTGCCATGCAATAGTGCCATGCGAATGCCTTTTCTCACCTTTTAGGTGACGTAAATAAGAAGCAGGCAGTAATATTTCCCATAAATGTAAACAAACTTGTTTGAGCGATTGGCTGAATGAGATGTAGGACTGAATGGACTTAAGTTTTTACCTTGTTTTGTTTTTGAATGCCGCTATGTAACAAAAATCTACATTTGTAAGTTACACTTTCACGATAAAGATTGCAGTACACTACAGTAACTCCTCACTTAACGTCATCCCGGTTAATGTTCTGTTGCTAATGAATTGGAGAACATGCTTGTTTAAAGTTGTGCAATGCTCCCTTATAACATTGTTTGGCAGCCGCCTGCTTTGTCCACTGTTTGTAGGGAGAGCAACCCATTGGAGCTAGCTGGTGGGGGCTTGGAACCAGGGTGTCCCGGCAGCCCTGCCAAGTTCCCTGTACAGCAGCTGCCCAGCAGGCTATCAGTTGCCTTGCTGGGCAGTTCAGGTGTCCCCTTCCCTCCCCCCCCCAAGCCCCCCACTGTGCTGCTCCTGCCTCTGCCTTGGAGTTGCTCCTGGGAGCCTCCTGCTTGCTGTGCAGGGGGTAGGGGGGAAGAGGCGTGCTGATGTCAGGGTGTCCCCCTCCCCCTGCACCCCATCTCCACAGAGCGGGGGGGACAGGACAGGGCTCAGGACAGAGACCTTGCTGGCAGCAGCTGCTGTCTCAACTTGCTGATCTACTTAAAAAGACAGTGTACTTAAAGTGGGGTCAGCGTACTTAAAGGGGCAATGCACATCTCTCTCTCTCTCACACACACCCCACACACAGTGGCTCTCTATCTCACACATGCATGCACCCCCTGGCACTTTGGAAAGTGGAGGGAGTGGTGCGCTCCAGTGGGATAGCGTGGGTTCATCACCATATTCAGTTTCCGCAGGGAATGTTTGCAGCCAGGGCCGTGCATCAGTTGTCTCCTCCCTCCATTCGGGCTGCCTTGTAGAGTGTGAGGCTACACTAACAACAATGTGTTAACTCTTGAGGGCTCAGCCAGTGCTAGTTCATAAGGCATCCCTGGGAAATAGCCCTCCCTCTTCCACCCTCTGACTTTACCACCTCAACCAAGCGTCACAATCATTGCTGTGAACAGTATTAAATTGTTTAAAACTTACACACACACACACACACTCGCACTCTAAAAAAAAGATTTCCCTGGAACCTAACCGCCCTACCCCCATTTACATTAATTCTTATGGAGAAATTGGATTCACTAAAGTAGCATTTTTTAGGAACATAACTACAACATTAAATGAAGTTACTGTACTTGTATGAAGTGAATTGAAAAATACTTATTTTTTGTGCAAATATTTGTAATAAATATTAAGTGAGCATTGTACACTTTGTATTCTGTGTAATAGAAATCAATATCTGAAAATGTAGAAACATCCAAAAATATTTAATTTCAATTGATAATCTATTGTTTAACAGTGTGATTAATTTTTTTAATCACAATTTTTTTGAGTTAATCACGTGAGTTAACTGATTAATCGACAGGCTAGATCATTTTGATTTCCCATTTGCCAGCTCAGCAGCAATGATGGAGCCAAATGACGTCTTTCCATCGCTTTGTCTTATACCAGCTTTGCAGCTTATTTAATCATTAAATTGCTATATAAATATTCATTAATATACTGAAAATAATGGCAAAATAAATGACACCCTGACTGAACTGATAGAGGTTTCCAAAGAAGTCGTGTGTCTGATTTTGATGTTGTCATTTGTTTAACACACAATGTAGTTGCTTGTACTACTATTTTTATATTCCTTTTGTACCAGATTTTGGGGGTCTCCTGACAACTTTTTCTGATGCTTAATTTTTTTAATCACCCTTATCACTTTCCTTTCATCTCTCTACCAGTGAGACAGCTTGACAACTGGTCTTTGGCCCAGATCTTTCCACAAAACCTGGGCCCAGGACTTTTTAATAAACTGAATCCTCAAGCTATTAATTCAGCTTATCACAGCTGATTGTAATGTGGCTCTCTCACATGCATTGTTAAATCTAATCACTTACGAGCCGTGTGATGTGAAAACTATTGAAGCACCATTGAGATTGTCCTTATGGAAAGAATTTCCATTTTCTCTTGTAGGTGTTGATCCTATTATCTGGGAACAGGCCAAAGTGGATAATCCTGATCCTGAAAAGTAAGTCTTATTTTTTATTTTTTTTCATGGATATACGATGTGAACTTAGCCTTAAAAATCACACACTTTCTAAAATAACTTTCAGGTAACTTTAGGAGATATTTTAGGGGTACAGCTGTGTAATGTGAGAACTACAAGGTAGGTAATGAGAGGGTGGCCACAGAATCTCTCAAACAATCTCCCTCACAAAAATGCCAATTTAGTAAATCTGCCTCTAGGACCCAGGGGAAGGAAAGAAGCTCACTCATTCCCCTCTGTAGCTCCTTCCTTCCCTCTCTCCTGAGCTGATGAGTTCTCTGGAAGCAATATATAGAGTCTAGACAGATGGTGTAGAGTCCACTACCCATGTACAATCTATGCAGCACCTCCAAAATTTTTAATATGTAAATTTGTGGCAGCAGAGGATTGTGGGCTTGGTCAGAAGTCATGTCTGACTTTTGGGTTGCAAATTCTTGCTCTAGGGTAGATAATTGTTTGGAGCTGTGTTGGCTCGCTGTATCTGTGAACTTCAAACCAGCCCATTTCTTGGGGTCAATCCTACCCTGTTAGTCCTGCAACTCGAAATAAATGTAATCTCCTACACCGTCGGTATGAGTGGTGAGGACTTTTGAATTTAACACCTGTTCATTCGTGTAATGAACAGTCTGCAATTCAGGACTATTTTGTTAAATATAGCTGTAAATCTTCAGTTGTTTAATAACTAAACTCTTCTGTTCCTGTAGGCTTATCCCTGTGCCAATGGTAGGTTTCAAAGAGCTGTTGAGACGGTTAAAGGTCCAAGACCAGATGACTAAGCAGCATCAGACCAGATTAGATGTAAGTGTTCACTTCTTGACACCATTCGTTTTGAACATGGTTGCAGACAATGGATTTAGCACTTGAAAAGTGTGACTCTTATGGCCTTATAACTCCTGACTTCCAAATGCTGAGACCTAATCTGGGAAGTATTAACACTTAGCAATAGTTCTAAACTGCTGCCACCATAGATACTAGAGAAACATAGGCTATGTCTACACAGTAATTCAACACCCATGGCTGGCATGGGTCAGCTGACTACGGAGCTGTAAAATTGCTGTTTAGATGTTTGGGTCTGAGCTTTGGGGCCCCGCAATGAGGGAGGGTCCCAGACTCCAACCTGAGCCTGAATGTCTACACAGCAATTTTTAGCCCCGCAGCCTAAGCCTTGTGAGTCAGTCAGCTGACCTGGGCCAGCCGCGGCCATGCCCTGCATCTTTTATTCCAGTGTAGACGTACCCATAGAAGCTTGCATCTGTGCAGTTATGAGCATTTATGAATTTAGAATGTCTGTGAGTAGGTGACTTAACTGAAGCTGAAACAGGAACTGCAAGACTACCCTTACGGAAGCTATTAGGACTCTTGTATATGATTAACAGACATTTGACACCATGCTATACGTTGGAGTGGCAGGCTTATGAAATAACTCTTCTCTGCTTTGTATGAATATTGTCTCTCTTGAAAGAGAAAATTACCTTTTTGGCTATGACAGAGTCTAAAATCCACTGTTCTTAGTTCAGGCATTTTCAAAAGTGTCTCAAAATTAGGCACCCTGCTCACTCTCTCTCTCTCACTCACACACTCACTCACTCACTCACACACACTCACTCACACACACACACCCCACCCCATGAGTGTGGTGCTTAAGACCTTTTAGGTCTCTCTTGAAAATTCCAGCCATAGCACCTGACACAACCTCAGTTTGGGGAGCGTTTATTCGGCACCAATGCTGTAGTGTGGGTGTGCTGCAACTACCTGACCAGAACAGATATTTTCACTTTGAGGGGACACAAGTGGGAAGCAGGGAAGGGGTTAAGGGTACTGAGCGAATAAGGCCCCCTTGGCTGTTCTCCTGTTCAGGATAAATATTTAAAACTTTCAGTTAATTGCATACAAAACTGCCATCGCCATCATTCTGAGATGGGCTGCAACAGACCCACGTATGGGGTATGATGGCATTCTTACATGATAAACTACTCATCACATGATTCTCTTTGCAGGTGTTTTCAAATATGGCCCCTTTTCCTTTAGGACTGATCATTGTTTTGAAACTCTAATGGCAGGGAAAATGAATGCTGCTACTAGTATTTTCCTGCTTGTAAGAAGGTCTTTATTTAAAAAAAAAAATGAAATTAAATTTTTGGATGGCCTCCAATGGCAACCACGTTTTTCTTTCAGATAATATCTGAAGATATTAGTGAGCTGCAGAAAAATCAGACCACAACCATGGCAAAAATAGCCCAGTACAAGAGGAAACTAATGGATCTTTCTCACAGAACCTTACAGGTAACACTTGGCTGCATTAAGTAATCTGATGTGTGTTCCATTGGCAACAGAATAGACTTCGAGCTGTTAAAAAAAATTATTTCCCATTCCTGCTCCTTTCTTTCAGTCATTCCAAAGATCATAACTTCAGTGGTTCCTTTTGCAGGTGTTAATTAAACAAGAGATCCAAAGGAAAAGTGGCTATGCTATTCAGGCTGATGAGGAACAACTTCGTGTACAGTTAGACACCATTCAGTGTGAACTCAATGCACCTACTCAGTTCAAGGTGAGTGAGTTATGGGCTCCTGGTGTACTTACAATAGAGCTGTAAAATAACCTCTTCAAAGCCGGGTTAAAACTATTTGTAGTTAGTATTCTTCCTATGAAAGAAAACATTGACATTTTCCCTGTTGATTTGAGTAAGCAGACTTGCAAGTCCTAAACCCAATCTTGGAAAAAAACCCTTCCAAGGTCAGACTACAAGCGAGTACTGAAGCAATTTTATGAACAGTATTAGACTGTTTATTTACTGTATTGTACCCCCCCACCCCTCTGTTTAAAAAAAAAATGCACGAAGCAGAGCCACAACTTTAAGACTGATGGTACATTTTTTCTCTAAGGACTACAGATGTCAGGGGGAAACTGCTTTTCTATCCTAATACATGTGATTCCCATCTATTTTTAGGGTCGACTAAATGAACTGATGTCTCAGATCAGGATGCAAAATCATTTTGGAGCAGTTAGGGCTGAAGAGAGGTACTACATTGATGCAGATCTCTTACAAGAAATCAAGCAAGTAAGTATTCCTTGTGGAGAACTGCATGCAGACTTCTACACCAGCCTGCTTGGGTGGAGGGTGCACAGCTTATAAATAAGATGGAAAACAGTGGTGTTGGAATTGAAGTTTCAGCATGCCTCTTGAGGAAATTCAGCATCCAGCAAATACTAAGAGCTCTGTTCTGTGCAATCCTGATGTGCAGTGAAGTTGTTTTCCTGTGGTACCCCAAGCAGTCCACATGCAGGGGCTACCAAGAAGTGCAGATCCTGGAAAACCAGTCCTAGGACTTCAGGCTCCCTGGTCCACCAGAGAGCCAATGGGGCTGGTCCTAGGGCTGAGAATCCATTAACTTCAGCTGGGTCTTCCATGCTCTCTGCAGCAGTGCTCTCAACCCTGGAACTTGCTCTGTTTGGGCAAAAGTTGAATTGAATCTGCATTTTTCCAAACAGCTCTAAGCGTGAGTGAACTCAACTAGTTTTTGGTAAGGAGCTCACAGGCGAAAACTTCAGGCATGACAGTAGTAAAAATGAAAATGTATTCTATTTGGCACATGTAAAGTAGTTTAGTTTTCAAAAAGTAAACGTAGCTGTTATAGTAACTTGAAGTTATTTTAGAGAGGTTCTAATTGGGATGATCTTTTAAACATCAAGTAGTGGACTGACCTGTAGTTTTGTATGATAAATGCTACAGCTGAATTGTTTCTTGTATTATTCTAGCATTTGAAGCAGCAACAAGAAGGCCTGAGTCATTTGATTAGCATAATAAAAGATGACCTGGAAGATATAAAACTAATAGAACATGGATTGAATGAGAGCATCCCTATCAGAGGAGGAATCTTCAGTTGACTTGTCATAACCCATTGTTAGGGGGTATCAAATGCATTACTTTGTTTCAGGGTTCACTTTCAAAGCCTGAAACTGAGCAGGTTAAAAAAAATGCATATCTTAGCTATAGGATTTTCAGAAATTTGGTATCTGCTGTAATCTTTTGGACTAGCAAAGACTCTTCCATGCTTTTCAAACTTGATGACCTTTGGAAGGTTTAGACTTATAAAGCTGTATATGCTTTCTTAAAAGAAACAATCTGTTCAGATACTGTTCTACTACAAAAGTTATGTACTATTGTACATTTTTACAACAGCATTGTTCTTCCATGCAATGCTAAGGCAATATTGCCTTTCAAGTTTTCATTTTTGCAGTGAGTAAAAACATGAAAGGAATCTACATCACAAAATTATGCATACAAAAACAACTAGGCTGTTGCAAACCTGTGCATTACACTGTAAACATGTTTAATATTTGCTGGGGAAGTTGTGGATTTAGTGTTTTTAGTGTAATGTGACTTTTTTTGGACTGCAAGGCTATATTTTTATATCATTTTGCTTATTCAGAAAATAGAATAAAATGTCTACTTTAAACTGTGTCCTTTATCTTGTTGCCTTTTTATTTGTAATAAGTTACATACAGCATTGTTCATTCTTTGGAAAGATAGTTACTTGGAGATTTGTCAAATATTGTAAAAAGGCACTTGTGACTAACAAATCCAGAAATACCGCAGACTTGTGCTAGGAAAAAAATCTACTAAGCATCATACTGTAAAGAAATTAAGTTTGCCTGACTTCCCCTGCATTATATTTGCATTACTCTAGATACAGCATTTGAAGTAATTTTTTATAATAAGAAATGACTCAAACCTGACAGATGTCTTTCTTGGGTTCCCAAACAAGGTGAAAATTCCATGGTAAATACCATTACACTCTGCAAATTCAGGGTCAAATATTGCCTCCATTATTCAGCAACTCCTACTGAGGTACTACATTTGTGAAGGTTGGGTGAATCTAGCCCTTGATTTGTCCCAACTGTAACAGCAAAAACATTTGAACAATGTACTGTAAGTACTGTTATGTGAAAGTGTTCACTTTCC